CTTATTGCTACCAATTTTGCAAGGGATTTTTCAGATTTTGTTGAAAATATAATCTATATAAATCCATTTAATAAGTATAAATTTGGCGGTAGAGAAATTGTAATGCATTTTGAATAAAGAAAAAAGCAGCATTATTATGTTTTAATGAGTATGGCGCCCAGCACCTCCGCCATATTTTATCTATCTGTTAACTTATTATTTATTTTGTAAATACCATACGTTCAAAAAATATTTTAACTTTAACAAATTGTATGGTCGTTTCTTTTCTATTAAAAAAACTGTAAATTATTTAGAAAACTTTTCACATCTGTCCTAATTCATAGTTGAACAGTATTTTTTTTTATATACGATTGGATTAATCTTGTTATCGTATTGACGACGATAAAAATGCAATAGTTATTGTTTATTTAGGTCGTAATTGGTAGGTACTATGTCAAAACAATGTGCATACTAGAAAATATTGCCTTTTACCAATCGAAAGCCCAATGAGTCACAACACAATAACAGTTATCGATAAGATCTAACTATTATAAATTGGTAATTATGAGAGATATAGATTTCGATTATTGATTGACAGAAATAAATGTGTGGTCACAACATTGATATCACGTTCTGTCCATGTTTATACATATGAGTACGTTCTGTATTGTATAATATAAGAAATAAGTAGGTTTTCGTTTCAAAAGTTTAATTTTATAATTAACTATGTCAATCTCTTTAGGCTAAGTACATACATAAAGTAAAATAGAATAACGGAGTAGTGTTACATTCTTGTAGTAAATGAAGTCTTGTGACCAAAATCAAAAATAAAAATTCTACTGACTTATATGAACACCCAGGCTGAACCTTTGGACCTTGGTAGCTGAAATTTTACACAGATGTTTCCTCTATGATCTATATATAAAAGGATTAAGGAACGACATTTCAAAATTCAATCCCTAAGGGAGTGGTAAAGACAGAAACTTATGCTCTTTACTGTAATTAAACACAAACACGTATTTTGGCAATTTTTAAAAATTAACACTGCAGGACTGAAATAGAGTTGCTTATTTGAAACTTAAAGTGGCGGCATGACATAAAATAAATTAAACTCTGTAGGACTAAATGGGAGTAAAAGCTGTTCATCATAAGGTCATAAGGTCGTTAGTCCCTAAGACTGGCTGGACACGTACCTCCACGCTTTCCTATCTTGAGCTAAACTTCGCATTTCCCTAAAACTAGAACAACCCACATCCTTAACTATTTGGGAACAGTAATCTAATCTAGGTCTACCGCTACCTCTCCTAACTCCTGTTTCTGCCTCTAATATGTCTCTAACTAGACCTTCATGCC